TTTTTTGGGGCCCGGGGCCCAAATTTCCCCCCCCCCCCCAAAAAAAAAGAGAGTATGATGGTGTCATAGGAAGAGGACATAGGTTTGGAAGCATGGATTGTGGCTAGGGAGTATGGTCAAAGTGGAGAAAAACCTGCTAGGCTCCTACACTGGGGCAAAATAAGTCTAGATTCAGTGGAATTGTATTTCAGAAATCCAGACCGGACACCTGTAACTAACTGTCCAAGTGCAGGTAAAATTCAACTCCAAACACCCTATATTGGAGTGGCTTTATAAAGAACAAGCTTGTCAGACACTGCCTTGAGGGGGGGGAGACGATTACGCTTGAATTCCTCAGCAGTACTAACCGAATCCAAAACGCAAATGAAATCTGGCCCATTTGTTTTGCTCAGCATTGCCAGTGTCAGTTCCAGCCTGTCCCATTTAAGTCACAAGACCAATAAGAAATGAATCAGTTATAGGTGTCTGGAATCTGAATTCTAGTGAATTTGCTTGCTTTGAAAACTCACACCAATTGAATTCCCTCTTCTGTCTTGTAATAGGAGGTGCTATTGTTGTGGATTATTTTTGTTTTGATCCTACCAGAATTGTCTGTCTCAATAGATTGCAGCAAAACTGTAAAAGAAATAAGGCATTTTTAGCACTCACCCCTTATCCAAACTTATGGCAGTTTTAAAAACAGCTAAAAACATGCAGTGTTAGATCTCCTTTTATAGGAAAAACCAGCTCTTGGTTTTTAGCTTGCCTCTTACAGGCCTTGTATCTTTCCCATTTTGTTGTTTGTAGTTAACAATAATTTTAGACTGTACAAACATAGCCAAAAAAAAAAAAGACTGGCGTAAACTAGAAAACAGAGGCCTTCATAAATGGTTGTAACTTTGTTAGGTGAGCTTTCAGTTTCCCTCAAGTCCTAACAGGTAACCATAGAAGAAGCTAAGTTAGTTTTGGAATTTGGATTTATTATTCTTAGCTTGATTCATGGTCTACATGGACTGTATCGGTAGTTGAGTCCTGGTGTATGAATGTAAACAGGTATGAGATATTTTGAGTAACACAACAGTTCCCATACATGTATTCTGTTTAAGTACTTAAGAGATGAAATTTGTCTTGGTTCTTGTGGCCCTGTTGTTAATGTCTAATTCCAATAGCAAGGGGCTAATTTAAACCAGTTATGCTTAAAATCACATGATTGGCATGTAGTTTTTGTAGTCCTGCTTGGTGCCAACTGATGGGGACTGGTGCACAGTCTGCTGAATTCTTCTGAAATCTTTAATCTCAGTTTGAAAAGCCTTTCAAAGATATTTGGATTTAGAGGTAAGGCGCAGGAGAAAACAGTGCACCTCCTTCCCCATATCCTTTGCATTTAAGTCATAGCAAGTTTTAATCTTTGTATTTTCAAACTTTTTTCTGTAGCCAATAGTGCTGGGATCTTAATTTCTTTCTTAAATGAAAGGTGTGTTTCATGAGGTTCTAATAATGTTGTGCAACCTTCACGAAAGCACTTCTGTGGATACATGTTGCCAAATTCTGGCTTGCTTTTTCTGTCGAATAAACCTTTCCCATCTCTGTTTAGAGTTTAGGCCAAAGGGTTTTGACAGATGAAAAACATCTCCCTGGAAGGCTCATTTTCCTTTTCAGTGTTTTCATAAAGTCATGCCTCTAGGCCTTAATATATTCAGTAGATATTGCCAGTTTGCATTAATTCCTTGTAATTTACACACAAAATTAAGTAGAAAATAAGTGCTGAGTTTGCATCAAGTGCTGACAGCAACAGTGGTTTAAACCATAGGAACAAAACTGTTTTGACCCTAGAGTTTATGGATTATGGCCCCAAATGTGGCAACATACAATTGCGAGGTTTAAGGGAATGAGATGTTATGATCCATGTTACCCTGGTACACATAGAAGGGATGCAGTTTGTCTGTTTTACTGTAGTTGGAGGTTAAATGCTTGGCAAATTTGACAAGATCTATACTGCTCATTTTTCCTCAAGCAGACATTTCAGAGTAAGCCACTAACATTCTCCTGCTTTCCACATTAACTTGTTTCTACAGAATAAAATCATGATCAGCAGCAGTAGTAAAGTTGAATGACATAATAATAATAATCTTGATGACACCGTGCTTGTATTGAATTTTCCAGAAATGTGCAGATGGGTTGTCAAGTGTGCTGTTGTTTCCAAGTATTTCAGCTTAGGAGGGTTTATCTGTTAGCCTGTCGTTTTATTTTACACTGGCCAAATTGCTTGCTAAAGAAAGGTTAAAAAAAAGGGGTTCCCCCCCCCCCCCCCCCAAATATACCTTCTTGGCTTGCAAGGCCAGATTCATGAGGCTAGGGGAAACAGTATTTGAGGCAGGAGGAATAACAGTATTTGAGGCAGTTGCAAAACAAATTAGCAAAATCTCCATTGCAGAAATGAATGGCACATTCCATTCCCTAGATGGGTAGCAAATCACAGATCACTGGGGGGAAAGGAGGAAACTATTTCTGGAAACCTTATCGTCTTTCATGATAAAATAATCCCTAGCTTCCGGGAGTAGAAAAGCTGTTATTTATGCTTGCTTTCAAAGAGTTAGAGCTTGTGGGATTCCTCCCCCTCAACTGGAAATGAAGGGGGGGGTGAACAAAGGGCATCTCCCTCAGCATACTTTACTGTTTATGACATCATTGGGTTTAATCCTTGTCCTTTTCTGAATTCAAGGGTTGCAGGCCTGTTGGTAGAGCAATATTAGAAAGACTTCCTTACTTTGTAGTGCAGTGAAGTACATTACATTGCTAAATAATCTTTCTTTTCCTCACAGCTTGTCCAGGATTTCAATACCCAGGTGGCTCTGTACCGTGAATTGGTCATTTCCATTGGGGATGTATCAGTCACTTGTCCATCTCTACGTGCTGAAATGCACAGGACTCGAACCAAAGGATGCGAGATTGCCTGTCAGGCACACCAAAAGCTAGCAGCAATTTCTGGGTAGGAGATTTCTTCTGCTTCGTCAAGCTCAGCCTCTGTAATAATCCAAGCTCCGGGATTTCTGAAAGTTCTGTGCCAGTCATAGCAGAGATGGCTAGATTATTGTACTTTTTTAGGTGATGTATATATTTCTTAATGTTTACGACACTACTTAACTTGCCCTGCACTTGATTAGTCCATACAGTCAAGGCATTGCATGTGAAAACCAGGACTCCATGGCCTTATCTTCTACAACTGAAGGTATGAGCGCTGAAGTGGGAAAGGGACCACCAGCAGCCTTCTCACTTGACAAGTATGTTTGGGCATCATTTGCTTGATGCTTGGTGTTTCCCGGAGCCCCACTGCAGTCTTTAAATTGCTTTAATATTCCCCCAGGACCTCTGGATCATGCAGTTCTCTGAGGAGTCAGTAAGCATCTCTGACAGGATTCTGCAGCTTGCTGAGCTGCAATTCCCAGAATTGTCTGGGAGAAGCCATGCCACTTAAATTGGTAGGAAACGGATGTGTAGTTTGTAATGTAGGTAGGGCTTCAGAGAATTAACTCACCTTGTCGGCCTGAACTTGTTGCTCTGAGCTGAGGCATGTAAATAGATGTCCTAAGAGGAGTAGAAATAGATTTAAAATAAATATGAGCCTCATGACAAAATTTTTTGACTAAAGTAGTGTGTGTTTCATTAACCTGTTAACTAGGCTGTATCTCAGCTAAAGTAATTTACTCCTGTCCAGCTGTAATTTACTCCTGTCCAGCTTATTTTTCTTTTGAAAGCAGAAATACAGCAAATCACACAAACTAAATTCAGTAAGAAATACCTATTTTTAAAAAGCCATTTCCCTCTTGCAGGTACACTTTGAATCTGTACAATGTACACCTACCTTTCTGTATACCTACAAGTTATATTTGAGGTGCAAACAGAATTGGAAAACATTTAATTTACCTTGGCTGTTCATTTTATGTATCAAAATATACAGGTACTAATTGCACCTGCAAAAAGGAGGCTAAAACCCATCCTTTTGAAAACTTATCCCAGGTAAGTAGTGAAAAAACTCAGTTTGTTTACTACCCGCATGGAGTTTAAGATGCTCAATAATGTCTTTCTGACAAGCATCTTAAAAAACACACTTCCTGTTTTCATAAATACTGAATTGTCAAATACTTACTTCTCTGGCTATCCTTCCCACAGCTTAGACTACCTTGCCATGTTCCAGAAGAACTAAGAAAGTGGTGCAAATAGATTCTCATTTGCAGTTAAATGTCCTCAAAGTTAGTTGGATCCTACTTTTCAATTGCCCTTAAAGCTGGCTTTTCCCAGGGGGTTCCATACGTGGGAGTAGTGCAACAGAGTTGTAGGATGCAAGCAAGGAGGCATATTTGTAAGAGTTCCTAGGAAGGCACAGCTCTTAATACAATCAGCATTTCATTTGAGTTAGTCTCTGTTCAGGCTTGGTGAAAAGGTTTGATGAAATATAGGGAAGTCAGTAAGATATTGGCAGCAAATAATGCCACAAACAAATTCCTTTCCTCTTCTGCACTAATCAGTAGTTGGATTAGTGCTCTAACTAGTGCTTGGGGGACCATTTTCTTTGATTTTTCTCAAGGACCGCTGGGTAAAAGTTGTGGGTGGAAAGGAGGGGAGCCTCTCACTGTGTTCTAAGAAATACAAAAGAGACTTTCAGAACAATCGTGAGAGCTAATTAGCAGTATAAGTGATGGGCAGTTGCAATAGTTTATATAATAAATCACGCAGGAAGGTAACTGCACAGGAAAAGTAGCTGCATGTCTTGAATGCCTTCTGTGTATTGGCCTTTCTCTAAATTAATGCAGCATTTTTCTTGTTCATCTCTTGATCTCTTCTGGGTTCCCCCCCCCCCTCCATTGTAAGATGGCTGTTAGGCCAGAGAGGGATTGTGCTGTGACCTGGGAGGTTGGCTGTTCGAATCTCATGTCTGCCACAAACTCACTTGGCAGCCTTAGACATGCCTCTCGCAGTCCCTTATCTGAAATACGGAGGTAATACTGGGCTACTTTGCAGGAGTATTGTAAGGATTGATGTGATAATATATGTGAGGAGCTTTGAGCAATGAAATGCTGCACAAATGCTGGTGTTAAATAAAAGAGCAGAGGATATTTCTGAGAGCACCAATAATTCCCAACCCTTCCTTTGGTTGGTTAATGCTCAGAAATAGTTATTTGTTTCTAAAAGGAGGTGTGTCAAGGCTGGAACCACTCTGGAAAACATGCTAGAATCCTTAGCGTTCCTACTCTAGTTACGTGGGAAGCAAGCACATTGCACATACTCCGAAACATTCTTTTCATTCCAAATGGCACGTTCTGAGGCTAACACAGGAAATAGGTCTGGGATTTTAAACTCTGCTAAACTAGAGTATTCAGTTTAGATTATGGAGACTGCAGAAGCTAAGACTTTATCAATATTAACGGTGCACAATAGTTTAAAGCACAGTCATCCTAAATTGTAGGCTATATCTGTCACCTAGTATATAATCCTGTATATATGGGGGGGAATTTAATATTGTTAATATGAAGTAGTGAAAAGCATAGGAAAGGATAATAGGGATGGGGTGTGACTTGGAATGTTGGGAAGAGAAAATGGGGGACCTTTTATTACCTCTGACATAGGGAGACCAAAAAGAATCTTGCTGTTCTTTAATTACCAGCAGCGTTTGGACTATTGCAAAGAGGGATGAGGGATCATAGTTGCTCTGGTTATAGCTGTGCTCATAGTGCTGTGTAATGTGATTATGCTAGGTCAGCAGAGTTTTGTTCATTAGACGGGCCAAGATGAGATCACCACTGCATCGTTACACCTGCTTTGGGCAGACACCCCTCCCACACACATTGTTGCCTCTGTGCGTGCTCTGTGAGGGAGTCCTCTGTATTTTCTCCAGCATACTTCATATAAATTGTGTGATGTGTCATTCAGCACTGTGATGGAGCCACAAATGGGAAAACCATTGTGATGCTCTAGCTTTTAACTTCTACTGAACTTCTGCCATTTCCTTTTGTCCTCCCTGTTCCAGAAAGTTGCTTGTAGGGCACTGGAAAATTTTTCACTCTTTGTCTTAATGATTTCCCAAGTGATTTTTCATGGGCCCTGCAGTTCTGCATGCTCTCAGAACCACAGTGTCGCCTTATGTGGATGAGGTTTTCATAGTTTTAGGGCTGGGGAAGTAAGACCAAACACTGTTATCAAAGATTACTATCACATGCTAGCAACAATTCCTTTTGCTGCTGCAGATTCTCACTGAAGGAACTTATAGTCAGTTCAGTAAGTGGCAGTTTTCCTGCAGAAATTTTAGAAATAGGGCATTTTGTGGCAAAGTGAAAAGCAAAGTAGAATACAGGAAAGCATATTGAACTTCTGGCCATAGTCCACAGCACAGATAATCCGTATGTATGTCTTGTTAAAACCAGTGAACATAGTGAATACTGTTTCACGCAGTGGCCTGCTGGTTGCACTGGAGATCAAACAGGGAATAGACACTGAAGCTTTCCCGTGTTACTGCATACCAGCACTGGGTTTCAGTGGTGTACTTCCTCTGTAGATGGAGGCTTTCCTCAGTCACCAGTCAGGCTAGTAGCCACTGATGGAACTCTCCTTCAATGAATTTGTCTAACCCTCTTTTAAAACTGTCACTATCTTTTGGCCATCACTATCTCTACCAGCAGTGAATTCCACAGTTTAATTACTAGTTGAATAAAGTGACGACAGGAGCTTTGACTCTTGAAAGCTTATACCTCGAAAATCTTGTTGTCCTCTAAGGTGCTACTGGACTTGAATCTCGTTGAGTAAAGAAGTATTTCCTTTTGTCAGTCCTGAACCTATTTCCCAGCAATTGCATTGGGGTGCCTCTACATTCTAGTAGAATAGTGGGACTTGAGCATGTGTAATTGTGTTATATTGTGGGAGCAGCACACAGATGCATTTGCACTGAAGACTTGAGTCTGCTTGCTGTACACAGGAAATTGCCTTTTGACCAGTTAAATCCGTAAGAGCTGTACCTGGCTTTGTGTGCAGAAAAACTGACATTGTGTTTGAGTCTCCTAGTACATCTCTGGATAAATAATGATGATAGAAGCAATTACGGTAAAAGTCAAAATGAACGCTTCCAATTAGATAGTTTTGGTGGCATTAATCATGATGATGGAAGGTATCATTAGAACTTCAGAAAGAAATTTTATTATGAAAAGTAAAATGTGCCGCAGCAACTAGGATACAATCCCTTCCCGTCATACATGAGTGGAAAGTGCTTCTCTGTGTGTGTGGCTCTTGCTGCTTTAAACAGCATTCCTTGCACTCTGCTATTGTTGGAAGTTGGAACACTTAGGTGGGCTGCCCTGTTTATAAAGGATGCAGTAATTAGTGAAGTAAGTAAATAATTTTCGTCTGCAGTCACTTCAAGTACAGTGATACATTTTTTTGAATTATTTTATTCTATAGTAGTAATTCCTTTGGGGGGGTTATATAGTTGGTGTTGCAGCTTTGCTCTTGTGGCTCACCCAAGACTACTAAATTGCCACTGTTGTGATAAATAGCAGAGGCCAAAGTCTCTTGTGGCAGTACTTTAATTGGAATCTTGAGCCATTCCACACTCCCAATAAAAGCATTTAAAAGTAATTATTCCCAGTTTCCTAAAGCAACCAGGCAAGCAAAAATTTGCTTCCAGGCATTTCTTCGTGTGACGAAATTAGTAGATTTTTTTCCAGAGCAAGTTGGACATCTGATCATAAGACTGCTTCAAGATAGGAAAAAAATAGAAAATATTTTAACTACTTAATATGTGGAGCTAAAGGATATAGCACGGGCCAGTGGGATTATTTAGTCAGAAATTATGTTTCGTACTGGTCATCCACAAATCATTTTAAATCATTAATATAATAATAAAATATCTTTCTATGTGGATGTGTAAGAAGACTGTGCACCTCTTTCTCTATTTTCAGGGGGTTGCTTGAAGGTGTGGGTTAGAGATGGACTAAATGGGTT